TAGGACGGCTAGTGTGCTCGACGGGGCCAATCGCCGAGCGTTCGTGTTTTTATAGTTGCGGACGGACTTGGGGAAATATTTTTCTTTGAGAGTTCAGGCGACGTCTCGCCAGTTCTTTCCGAATATATTTTGATATGCAAGTTTTAGAAAAACGATTAAATAGTTGTTACTGCGGAAGCGATTTTCCGGATTTGCGTTTTTGATAGTAGCAGAGATATTCTAACTCTATCTTTATTAAAAATTTCGAAAAATTTTCGATTACAAAGCTAAAAGAAATTTTGTAAAAAAAATTTGGGAGTATACGAATACTCGTATACTCACCCACTCCCCCCCTCGTTTTGGAAGGGGGGATAGCTGAACTCGTCTTTAGGCAAGCTGCCTACGTATTCCTTTCGGAAATCAAGCCATCTCGTAGTTCTGATTGTTTTCGCGAGTGTGCTTACTCGGCTGTCGCAGATTTCTCGATCGCTTCAGTTGCAGGATCAATGTCTTTGTCCGGAATTGTCTCCTCTGGCCGGGTGGAAGAGCTGGGTGCGGAAACTTCTGGTTTCTCGGCCGTTGCTTGCTATGGGTCATCTTCTGTGGTCGGTGGCGTGACCTTTGCCCGTTTTGGTTTCACGATTGCTACTACCAATTGCCTCAGCTTATGTTCGGCCAGGAAGCAGGATCGCGATTGTCTTTGGCAACCCCAAATTGCTGCGACTCCCGTGGGTGTTGGGAATTTGATGCCTAAGTGATATGTTGACAGAACCGCCTTCATGAAATTTATCCAAGGCGTTCCCATAATCACGTAGTAGATAGCCGGGAAATCGACTACCGCGAAGTTAACGATTTTTGTCACTTCTTTTGCGGCGACCGGTAATCAGATCGATCCCAGGGTCATTGACGTCTCGCCGGAGAAACTTCTCAACGGTTTTGGAACCGGCTCGACTTCTGAGAGGTCGATTCCCATGCTTGCTAGCGTGTTGCGGAAGATTACGTTGACAGTACTTCCAGTATCGACCAAGATCCGAGCGACTTCTAAATCGCTTATCACTAAGTCGATGACAAGAGGATCGGCATGAGGTTGGTCGATTCCGCCGGTTTCAGCGTCGTCGAATGAGATTACTCCTTTCGGAGAGTCATCCGTCGGTACCTTCCAACTTAAGCCGGTTTCGGCTTTGCGTTGGTAGGATTTGATAGACGAGACGGTGTCGTTGTAGTATTGCGATTCGCCGATAATCATGTTGATTTTTCGGCGGTTAGCGTCGTTACCCTTCTCGTCTTGTCTTCGTCCGTGTTTTTCGCCTGACTGGTTTCCCTGAGGCGGAGTTTCTGCTCGCGCATTCCTGTCGTTCTTCGGAAGGCGATCCGAATCGCGGATGAGATCCTTGACACTGGATATCTCGGAAAGTTCGCCGGCGACCAATTTTGCGGCAAGTCTGGCGCCGAGAACTTTGCAGTTCACGGTGGAATGCCCACGGGTTTGGTGGAGGTCGCAGAAAGAATCCTCGTTGTAATTCGAATTTCTCGTCCACGTGTTACTCGTAGTTCGCCCTTGCTCCGAACCGGAGTTGATGACGTATTTATGCGCCCCTTGGAGATCCTGTCCCTCGAGATGGACGAATTTGTCGTTACGAGAGTTCCTCTTTTTCTGTTTCTGCTCGGACGCGTTATCCTTCGCGGATGTTTTCGTCGGTTTATGCTTCTCGGACAGGATTTTAGTCTCTTCTTCGATGGTTATGAAGTCAGTGGCTTTACGGAGCGCATCCTGGATTGTCCGCGGTTTCTCGAGAGTTATCCACTTGTGGAATTTTGATTTATACTAGAGCAATTTTCTTAACGCGTCGATGGCGGCTTTGTCGCTAATCCCGCTAACCCTAGCCATGACGAGTTTGAACCTACTCATGAAATCGCGGAGAGATTCGTCCTTCTTCTGCACCAAGCTCCAGAGGTCGGCGTCGGAGGTTTCCGGGTTAATGAACATCGAGTACTGCTTCAGGAATTCTGAAGCCAGTCGACGGAAACTTCCGATCGAATTTCGCCTAATTTTGGCGAACCATTCGAGCGCTGCTCCTTCTAGGTTATCGACGAAGAGGCGGAAGTAGCCTGCGTTTTTGTCGTTGTCGTGGAGCTTGGCTCGTCCCATGGTGATCTGGAATGCTTGTAGGTACGCTTTGGGATCGGACGTCCCGTCGTAAGTCGGCACCTTAAGTTTTCCGGGATCGGGCAGTTTGATCTCGGTGATGCGAGCCGTGAAGGGCATTTTCCGAGACTCGTACAGTAGCCAATCAATATCGGGTGCGGCGCTGGTAGCGTGGTGAATCTGAGATTTCACCGCTTTTACCGTTGCGGCCGTTTTAGTGATATATTCGCGGAGATCGCGAATCTCGGTCAGACCGCCAACAGTTTTCCGACCTTGTCGGCGTTTGCTGCGAGTGACTGGAGATCACTCCTCAGCGGTTTTTGCGTATCGCACGAAGTCGAGTTCCCCCTCGTCTCCAGTAAAAGAACGTTCGGGAGAAGACTCCGGCCGAGGACTTCGAGTCTTTCTTCTCCTAGGATAGACGTCAGCGTCTTCGTCCGATGAATCGGCCTGGTCGCTTGTCTCCAGGTTAACCCTTTCGATGCTGTCGCCCTCGGTCTCCTGCTCGTGAGTAGGAGGTTTCTCCGATGCGTTCAGCGTTGCATCAGGATTGTCTTTTCCGGAATCCTTTTCCGGTAAGTTACCCTGCTCGGTTCTGGGACGATCCGTAGGAGCGCCAAAGTCGAGCCTCCTTCTGCGGATCTTAATAGTTCCGCGGGGGCGAATTGCTTGGGTTTTCGCGGTTAGGGTTCCTACCCGTTTCGCGAGCGAACCAATGAGCTTTTCCTGCTCTTCCGATTTTTTGTTAAACTCGGAAAGCATCTTTTCGAGGGTCTCGGCGTTAGAGTTTGTAGCATTGGCCGCAGACACACCTTGGGGTGGTGTTGTTTCAACGTTATCTCGTTCGTTTCGAGTTTGGTTGTCACCAGTCATCGTTTCTTCGTTGGACATGTTGCGGCTTCGGTGTAAGATAGATCCGACCCCCCCCCTCCTTCTAGCGCCAAACTGTGGGAACCGAAATCCACATACTGTCAATAAATCGTAAAAAAGGAAACTTCGGGAAAACCCTAAGTTTCCAGAGGAACCGGCTATCTGCAGAACCGCACAACGAAGATTAAGAAAACGATAAACTTAGAATTTTAAAAGAATAAACGAAATTGAGAGCAAAGAGGTTCTTATTCCGAATCTGCGTAAGAACTGGTACAAAAAGAGTAGCCGAAAACTT